AGGATTCAATTTGTATGAAAATGTAAGAACAATGAAGTCTGAGTCATTTGCGATAATTGGTGGATATTTTACATTTACTTTATGATTGTTAGATTTTACTAACATGTCCTGTAATTTCGATTGTTCCCACTGGTGTTCTTGTTCACTACACTTATGGTTATACAGTATTGTATAGTCGTAAAATAAAGCGTAAAATTGATTCAATGCTCAGTAACTTTCAATACCCCATCTAACTAAGAAGAATCAGTGATTGTAACTATAAATTATACCATAAATGGTAACTTTTGATGCTAAGAATGAATATATGTTCAAGCATATATTGTTGTAAAACTATGAGAATCATGCGTTACGTTAACTTTATGATAAGTATTTAACAACTGAACATTTATTGATATTTAATAGTGGAATTCATGAGTCAATTGAAACTGGATTACTATGGGTAACCTGGAAGCACTGGACGGCCACTTCGTCCCAGTGTGGGACTCCTCAGCAGTGTGCATCTACGATCCCGCCTCATGGAATTCAAGCCCAGAACCTATCGGTTCTGGATTCTTTTCAATGTCATTTGAACGTTTTACCATGGCATACTAACAATTGGCATGAATGAGACATATAAAAGTATTGGTATAGCTTAAAAAAAACCTCTATGGAAATTTATCAAAATACTAATGAATATTTGTAGAGACAACTTATTGAAGGTAAACAGGTCGTTTTTAATGAAAAAAGCATTTAACTGACGACCATAAACACTGTGAAGATAATTCAGGTACATTTCGAACGACTAATAGACTAATCTCTTAATAACACCATCAAACAAATGACATCTATCATTCTATCCGATTGTCGATTCACTGTTTAAGTTTTTATTGAATAAATAAATTTGATAAAGCTATCTGAACCAACGATTATGAAAAACCAGGAAACATGTTAAGTATCTGAATTGCAATGAGATTACTGAAATGTAAAGCCAAATTGAAACATGTGTACTGTCACAAATGATGCATTCCAAAAACGGATCAGATTAATTCATTTGGTATTGTTTACTTGAATTTTCCCATTATTGTTTAAGACCTCAATTGATCAGTCTCTTAATAGTATACGTGCATCCTGTAAGGATTGCATTCATATTGTTTAAGTCACAAGCATTCTATTCAAAGATGGATAGCAGCTAGCAGAGAAATTCAAAATGCGCGTTTCGTCCTATATGAGACATGTCAAGTGGATGTACCTGCATTTCACAGTTGATGTTCATTCAGAGACTTGAACCCAGTACAGTTCGCTTCAAACGCCATCGTGTTATCCACTTAGCTACTGAGTCCTGATAGCCACTTGCTTTCGTAATGGCATAAAGTTTAAATTCACTTGATGTTGTTTGCTTGTATCTTCCCATTATTGTTAAGGATTGCAATTGATCAATTTCTTATTGGCAGATATGCATTCTGTACGGATTGCCACGATATTGCGTTAAGTTACAAACTTTCTAAGCAAAGGTGTATAGTGACTAGTAATGAAATCGAGGACGCGAGTTTCGTCTTATTGAGACTTCGTCAGCTATATGTACTTGCATTTCCGAGTTGATATCCACTCCGGAATTCTGTAATGTAGGTACATCCAGCTGACTAGCTCTAAATAAGACAAAACATGCGTCCTGAATTCCACTACTAACCACCATTCATCTTTACTTATAATGGATCAGATTAATCTTCTATTCAATTATATAAAATGATATGTATAATGTTTTATTATCCTAGTTCACATATTTACTGAACAACTAAATACTGTCTCCGAATTTGTTTTATTATTCTCTCACATTGAACTACTAATAACCTACTGTCTAAACTAGTGAATAATTCATTGTCCGGCTGTTGTTGTTGTTGTTGCTACTGCTGTGATTTAGGCTACTATTGTGTTCTTTTACAATATGAAATAACACAAAAAAAGAGTAATTTGTTTAGTTGTCGAATGCCTAATACCACATTGTTTTCTTAGCTTCTCTCTTCTAGATTTCTTCTTCTTCTTCTTCTTCTTCTTCTTCTTCTTCTTCTTCTTCGTCTTCGTCTTCCTCTTCTTCTTCTTCTTACTAATGTATATCCGGAAACTAATGTAAACAATAGACTTATGTCTAGACAATAATACCTTTATGCATATGTATCTATATATAACCATGTATATCTCTATAATATTCAATATGATATATTATTCATTAATCATTTGTTTTGATATTGTTCCTAATTTAGCCCTTTTTAAAGGAGTAAGAAAAAGAGTATACACTACGGTAAGATGTTTTGTTTAGTTTGTATTCTGGTTATATCTTTTATTCTCTTGTTGTTGTTCTTCTTCTTTCATTTTAATCAACGTAATTAGGGAACATAGATTGAATATTATCTATGGATACATGTATATTTCTATAGTTTAAATCATTAGTCAATTGAAGATAGACTAGGATGGAAAACCTGGAAGTAGTCGATGATCATTTCGTCCTAGTATAAGATACTTCAGTGAGGTTCAACCGCGACTATTGTGAAATAGTAACTCATTGAAGACAATAGTGGATGTGTCATTCAATTTCGTGAATTAGTTGAAATTAGACATCAACACTGTCGGATATCGGTTTGATGGTCTAAAGGTTAAGCGCTCGCGCTCGAGACCGGTAGATTCTGTGGTTCAAATCTCGTAGATGTGCATTTCCAAGGAGGAGTCGCACAATAGAATGGAACGGTCGTTCAGTGCTTTCAGGTTTTCCATGGTGGTCTAGCTTCAACTGACTCATTTTGGTGGTGTTTTGTTCTCTGAGATGGATGGTTTGGTCGTGGAGCTGTGAAACACATATGGAGAAATTCGAACACTTCACTTCTATCTGAAGTTTGTGCTGATGATGTCGTTCAGAAGAACGATGAAAGCTCCATGACCAAACCATCCAGCTCAAAGAACAAAACACCACCAAAATCATCCACCTGAGCTACAAATCTTCTCCACCATCTCAACTGACTCATGAATTCCACCATTAAATTACAGAAGGAATTTCCAGAAATCTCATTTGACTTACTCATTGGATAGAAAATTACTGTAACAACTAAAGTAATAAGGATTGTAAGAATTTAATTGAAAAAAAGGACGATTAGTCCAGAGGATTATAGTGGCTCACAAAAAGATTTTTCTCTCATATATGGTTACGTAACTACGCTAAAATTATGGTAGATAGATAGAATTTCTAAACCATTATCCATATTATAATTGAAGATGGATGGTGGCTTGCATTGGAATCCAGGACACACGTGTCGTCCTATTTGGAACTCGTCAACCGGATGTAACCGCATCTGAGTTGACGTTCACTCCGGTACTCGAATCCAGTACCCTTTCCTTCAAAAGCCATGGCGTTATTCACTCGTCTACTGAATCCTGGTAGTCACCTGCTTGTGTAATGGAGTGAAGTTTAAATTCATTTGCGTCTTGGATTTCACTGCTAACAACCATCAGTTTTTACTTATAATGCTTGTGAATCAAGGCAATATTGAAGCAATCCGCACAAAATGCATATATGAGAGTAAGAGACAGATCAATTGCGGTCCTAAACATCAATGGGAAGATTCAAATAAACAATACAAGTGAATTTAAACTTCACCCCATTGCACAAGCAAGTGGCTATCAGTACTCAGTAGCTAAGTGGATAAAACGATGGCGTTTGAAGCGAACTGTACTGGGTTTGAGCTACTGAGTGAACATCAACTGTGGAATGCAGGTACATCCACTTGACATGTCTCATATAGGATGAACCGCGCATCCTGGATTCCACTACTAGCCACTGTTCATCTTTGTTTATGATATTGTTGTTGTTTTACAAAAAGTCGGTATTGAACTCTTGAAATTTAAATCTGTATGATAGTTTTATAATCGGCTTAATCAGTGTTTTTTCTGTTAAAACTCCAATGTTACAAACATTTTTTATAAGACATGAGTGCCTACTATTCATGGCATCAACAATGTGTTGTGTGCTACTGATGTCAGCAAATATGACAAGTATGTGTCATCAATCGGAAGTGAAATACCTGGTAGATCGACGAAAAGAGAACGAGAATAGAGAATTACTGGTATGGAAATGAAGGAACAATCAAGTCTTAGACCATTCATTAACATTTTGTAAATGAAATATTTACTACACAGTTCTTAGGTTTGCTAAGATGTTCAGTAATTTTATGTTCAAATATATTCGATTGTCACCACTTGTGTTCTCACCCACTATATTTGGTGTCGCTGCCAACCAGGAAGGAGCACTGGTGCTTTTCTGAGTACGCCGTTGCAGGCCTGAATCCGAAGTGCCAGTTGTGGATGTCTAGTGCGGTTAGGTGACGTGTTCTGGCGGGGTGGTTTTGGCTGTGACTGTTGCTGTCGATGGAGAGAAGCTGTGGGAACATGCGACTGCTTGGCAGATATTGGCTCAGCTGGTCACTGATGCATAGGCATCGAACGTGCTGGGTAGTGAGTGTACGTCCGGTTTTAATGGCCCGGCAAGTCGACGGAGATATAAAGGTCAACTCGCCACAGACTCGACATTTTGATGGAGAGTGTGGCATGGATTGGAAAAAAGAAGAAAGTGGCATGGAGAGCAGAACCACCGTAAGAACGACTGCTTTAAAGCGGGGATGAGTATGGTTTATGCTATTGATGTCAACAGATATACCTAGTGCGTATCATCAATCGGAAAAGAAATACCTGGAGATAGAAGGTTAAAAAGATCGAAGAAACGAGGACGAGAACGAGAACAAAGAATGATTGTTGTGGAAACGAAGGAACAACGAAGTCTTCGACGAATGATTGACGTTTTGTAAGTGAAGTATTTACTGTATGGTTCTCAGATTTTACTACGAGATATCATTATTACTATATAAGAATACAGTGGACTATTTTAATTAACTTTTGATTATCTCACAAAATGTTACCATCTCATGTATGATACCATAATCACTATAATAAAATTTGATTGTCAATCATATATTACTTACCACTACAGAATTCCGGTTTTCTTAATTCAACAAATTTATCACTTAAACAATTGACAACATGAAGAAAACAAGTATTACGATAAGTTTTTCCATTTGATCCACAAACAACTGGCCAACCATATGTTTGAACTGGTGTTTTCCAAACAGGATCACCAAATACTTGTGATTTTCTTTTATTTGGTATACCTGTAGATGATGATGATGATGATGAAGATGCTGAAGTTAATGTTTCTTGTCCATTTCTAAATGATGCATTACAATCTAATGGTAGTTTAGCACAATCCATACAAATTGGTTGACCAGTTAAATGATGTGGACTACATCTCATTTCAGCTCTTGGACATTGGATATTAGAACAAGTAGCTTTACCTGTGAATAGATTTAAATAACTTAGTTAGATATTAATCATTTAAATGAATTATATGAAATTAAATCATTTACTAGTATAAGGGTTGTGGAGATTATTAAGTTTTTGATTGAGATCATGAATCGAATGATGTTAGACCACCTCTGGAAACTTGGAAGCACTGGACAGCCGTTTTGTCCTATTGTGAGACTCCCCAGCAGTGCGCATCCACGACCCCGTTCGCAGGATTCGAACCCAGAGCCTTCGGTCTCGTGCGCGAACACTTAACCTACTGGACCACTGAGCTGGCCAGCATCCAACAGTGTCTATGTCTAACCTCGACAAATCCACGAAATTGCGTGACCATCTTCTATTGTACTGAGGTAGATACCTGTCTCTACCCGACATGGATCAGCTTCACTGGTCACGGCTTCTCACTAGAATTCCGAGAATTCCCTCACGAAGCCAGTCACTAGTGAGCACATGTTAATTACTAGTATAAGGGTTGTCGAGAGTATTAAGTTTTTGATTGGGATCATGATCTCAATCAAAGATCAGGAGCCCGTTTGGTAACTTTTTTATTCGAAAATTTTTCATAATCTGGCTTCAAAATCCTATATGGATCGCCACCAGAGATCTAGGCACATCTTCCTGATGAGTTCCAAAAAAGGAGGGACGAAAGAGCATACCAGATTTTACTGCTAACCATTATTTATCGAATTACTCATTTTAGATGTAACACAGGTTATGGGGATATTATTGAACTAAATATTGTTCTTATCAACCAGAAGTTTATAACTCCTCAGTAATGTAGAACGCGACTTTGAATTCTCTAGTAAACAATCCGATAATACACAGTTCAGCATAGAAAATTTTCTTTTGAATCATGTTCATTCCGACAACATTTCCAAGTAAACTATTACTATTGAATTGGTTCAAATGTAATGATTTGAATTATTCTTTACTGGTTGCGTTTTTTAGTGAGTCAGTTTTCTACGGGATGGGGTCGCTAACCCCTTGCCCAACCCTCCTCCTTTATCCAGGCCTTGGACCAGCAGTAGCCCAAGAGGAGCTCCAGAGGGGAGTACGCCGAGAAATGGAGACGAACATGAAAAGAACTAGAAAGGAAGGCCCAAGGCAAAGTGGGCTGGAAAATGCTGGTCGGCGGCTTATGCTCCATTGGGAGTAACAAGCGTAAGTAAATAAGTAAGGTTCAAATGCAAACAAGACAAAACACTGTTAAACATTAATCTAATATGACATTTAAGGGAACATATTTTTTGTGAAAACATGGTTTGCTTAATGGGGAGAATGCATTTTGGGATATAACTGAGAACTAAAAAGTCAATGGACAGTCATTTTATTTTAATGAGACTTCTCAGTTGTTCATATTCGCAACCATCTCTACAAATCGAACTTAGAACATTCAAGTGCTAAAATGACTTTGAAATAAAATAATCCACATTTTCAACATCAGTCAATTGGCAGTATACCATGAACATCCTCAGCAATGCTGATTGTTTCACCCACAAAAACAGGACTTTCTGCTGACTTTCAAAATCACGAAGTGTCTAAATAGCTTAATGAAGTTTAAATAGTCTGACTGACTAACCATTATAGGATTAAATATCAGGTCAAACATGAAGAAGATCAAAATAAATATGCAGACAATAACAGGACAACGTCCAGAAACAACCAGTAAAGATCTAGGTTGGCAATATCAAGCTATCACTCGTATCGACGTATGAAATTCGGATAGTTTACTTCTGTCTAACGTTTATCCTGATGATCTTGTTCACATGAATATTCAGCTCAGAGAACGAAGCTCTCCCACCTTTGGTTTAAATATCATAGAATTTTAGATCAACTGTATAATTAACCAAAATCCAGCGATTAACTTATCATTCATTACGTTATAATAAACCAGTATCTTGGGTTTCAAAACTATTCTAAATTGATATAAACTCATATGTATGAGAATACATGGTGTATACTGCTTTGTGTTCTTAGCTCTCAACTCATGTGACAAAAGATACTTTTTGTAAATTGCCATCTCTAACAAAAAAAGTGACAATAAACGATTGAATTCTTGAGTGATTTTTTTTCTAAGTTCCATCGATATTCCATGTTACTCAGTTGTCATATTTATTACACGGACGATGTATAATGGTTCATCGATAGATAGTAGAATGTAACAGGTATTATAAGTGACAACGTTAGTCAACTGCAACATAAGACCAGGCACAGATATGAATCGGTCCAAGTTGCCATACCTCAATAGCACAACAAGATGAACACCAAACTCATAGAAGTAGTTAATTCAATGGTGGTAATATATAAAAGAAAGATTGCATATAAGGATATAGTACAGAAAGGAAGAATTAGTTCGTAGAAAGAAAGATATGAAGCAATTTTAGTCTCATAGTTTAAAGGAAGACAGAGAGTGCATACGCCTGGGCCATGTCACCAATAGTCTTCAACGATCGGTTACGTTAGTCACGCGGATCCCAACTAAGTAGTTTGCATTTACCAACTTGGCTCAGACCAGATGTTAGTGAATTCAAGTACTGATGCCAGTTTTTGGTTTGGCCGCCCCTAACTTTCTTCCAGTCGTCTCCAACACTAGTCAGCATTGCGAGTAGTGGTAATCGGTGTTCAGGCATACGTAACACGTGGCCCAACCTCACCAACTGATTTATCATCATTCCCTAATACTCTGAGTCTAACCTCACTATCACTTACCCGGTGATCGCAGAAGGTGAAAGTAATGTTTCTAGGGCATCTGTGGTCAAATACTAGTAGCTTACGAGTATTTTCTACTCTTAATGGACAGTGTGGGAACAAAAGAACAATGAAGTGTGAGACAATTGACTTGTATTTGCAAAAGGAATAGTTAAGTTTGAGACCATTGATTGATACTTTGCAAATGAAGTATTTACTGTATCGTTCACAACAATACTTTCACATCAATTCTTTGAACCAAAGTAGTAATGGAATTAACAATACAACTCTCAATTTACTTCAAGACTCAATGGCTGAAATATACGTCAAGTTGAGAGTTTCTTATTAATATAACAAGTGTATAATTATTATTAGTTTATGGTTCATGTGAGATAATTAACGTAATTTGATGAAAAAGTGCTAGTGACCTGTATCAGATTATGTACCATCAGCCAGGTCATGCTCCCAAATGCCTTGGTACAGCTGAGAGTGAAAAGAGTTTGCTATCCCTCTCAAAATGCTCTCATTTTGCGGCGTACATACAGTCACTATCAAGTAAGTTCTACTCACTGCCTTCTCGAGGCGGGAGGAATTTTATTTCACGAAATTGAGAGGACGAAAAGCAAATATCTGGTGCTTTAACCGGGTTGGTGGATAAAGAGGATCCATCTAGAGGAGATGCAGAACCCTAATCCCAAACCATTGGTGCACGTGAGCCCCAGGATTCTAAGGAAACAAGTGGCACATTAACCAATTATTGGTCGCCGGCTACCATGAGACTATATCTCCTGACGTTGATCCATTGCCTTGCGGATCATACCTTTAGGTCAAAAGTTTCGTACATGGCTTCCTAAGAAAACCACCTGTTCTCGTCTGGGCACCCAGGCAGTATCACAGCCCACACATAAATCAAGTGACTTGTATGGCGCATATGTATTCGGTGCCTCTTTGAACCAATATTTACGTGTTCAAATAAAGAAATAAAGATCAACAAGAAACATGAATAAAAGAGGTCAGAATTGAGACTATTCGGTGTTATTTTATTGTAACAAGGGATTCGATATTAATATTTTAAAAAATGATATATGAAATGAAAATGAGTTCAATACCCGTACGGTTGGGGAAGCTGAAACACATAGACTTCTAGACTTTAGGCTTGCAAACAGTAATACCGAAATACGGTCAGAAATATTATTATCAAGTTTAAGTTATCATGGGTTCAAATCCTGAGTGCGAGGTCGTAGATGCTCATTGTCAAGGAGGAATCCTATACTAGAACGAAACAGTTGTCCAATGCTTCCAGATTTTCCACGATGTTCTAGCTTACATTGACTCATCAATTCAACTATTAAAATCAAAATAGTAAATTACTAGTCTGGATCTATATTCAGAGCATTATAAACTACCAATGAAATCCCATAACAAAATAATTAGTCAAATTATCTTCACAAATCAGTAAATATATAGATATGAACTCATATTGTGATGTAAGCTACTTATATCCACATAAGTAGTATATAACGATAGTCAGGAATAGAATGTATTTCAGTAAAAGATTGAGTAGGAAAGAACGAAAACGGAAGGCGATTGGTATGAAAATGCAGGAACAATGAAATCTGAGACGGTAAAGGAACAGTCAAGTTTCAGACAATGGATTGATATTTTGCAAATTAACTATTTCCGGTATTTTCATTCGTTGAGATCATGAGTCAGTTGAAGCTCGACCAGCATAAAAAATCTGGGAGCACTGGATGTCCATTTCGTCATAATGTGGGACTCCTCCTTGGCAGTGCACAACCCTGACCCCGCCTTGCGAGATCCGAACACAGGACCTGTCAATCTCGCGCCTGAGCACTTAACCACTGAGTCTGCCGGCATCCAACCGTGTTAATGTCTAACTTCAACTAATCCAAGAAATTGAATGACACATCCACCATTGTCTTCAGTGAGTTGCTATCTCACAACGGACCCGGTTGAACTTCACTTGTCAATGCTTCTCACTAGAACTCTAGGATATACCTCTTGAAGCCAGTCATTAGTGAGCATATGATGATAAGTATCAGAAAAGGTGTTTGTGGATATTATAGTAATTTAAATGGTCAAAATCATGAGTCAATCAAATCTAGACCAGCATAGAAAACCTGGAAGCACTGGATGGCCGTTTCGTCCTAATACGGGACTCCTCCTTGGTAGTTCACACACGAGATTCGAACCCAGGACCTATCAGTCTTGCGCATGAGCACTTAACCTCTAGACAATTGAGTCTACTGGTATCCAACAGTGTTAATGTCATCATTTAATGTTCTTATTCACTTATAATATAATCAAAACTAAATATAACTTACTTCGACATTCTCCTTTATATGCTATTCTTACTTCTAATTGATTTTTTAATCCAGCTAATTTAAGATCACAACTATTATAAAATGTTTGATTATTTGTACTACATATTGGTTCATGAAATGTTGATTCAGGACAATTATTTAATGTTTTCCATGATTGTTCACCCCAATATTCACATGATGGACGTCCATCAAATTGACGTAATAAACAATATTCATTTGTATTACATATTAATTCTTTAGATAATTCATCATTAGAATAAATTGTCTTTTCATCAAAGATAGATTCATCTATATTTGATATATATGTATTTAGATCTGTTGATGTTCTACGATTCATAATGATGATATTATCGTCTAGATTGTTTGTATAGTCTTGATTATCTGTTGTCGATGATGATGATGATGATGATGGTAGTATTGTATTTGTTGTTGAGATTGATGAAGTCGATGATGGTAATGACGAAACATCTTTTCCTTCTTCATAATCATTATATAAAGTTTTAAATAATGAATTAAGATGGAAATTTTTTTCTGATAATATACTTAAATCGGAACATCGTAAACCTTCATCAGGACATGGAATTACTTCAAGACTTTCTTTTGGTAATTTACAACGTGCTTGTTTTAAATGACATTGATTATGAAAACGTCTTAAATTAGTTGTACATAATGGACCAGTTAAATAATCAGCTGTATTACATTGTAATCGACATTTACATTTTGGTTCATTATTAATCATACGACAATAATGTCCTTCAGGACATACATATCCTTTACATGTTGAAGGTAATTCTAAATAATAAAAAATGATAGAGATATGATAATAATAATAATAATCATTGAAAGAAAGGAAATGTGAAGATTTTTGGGTTTATGCAAACTAGATCAGAGGAAACTGGCCCTCTTATCTCATACATATGAACAAATGCAGATGAAGATAACTAGTGTAGCAACAGTCTCTGCATTAGTAGGCCTCAACATACATAAGGGAAAAGAGCAAGATCCTCAAATACAACATAGAGAACACCAACCAAATCACACTTGATGGCGAAAATCTAGAAGATGTGGAATCCTTCACGTAACTAAGAGGCATCATCGATGAACAAGGAGGATCGGATGCAGATGTAAATGCATGATTGGCAAAGCAACAACACCATTCCTACAATTGAACAATATACGGAACTCAAAACAACTCTCTCTCTGAATCAGTATCAAAGTATTAATCTTCAATACCAATGTCAAGTCACTTAGTTCTACTGAACGGAGATGAAACTTCCACAATTACTACAACCATTATCAACAATGTACAAGTATTTATAAATAGTTGCCTATACAACATACTCAACATTCATTGTCCGGATACCATCGGCAACAGCTTACTGTGAGAGAGAACAAACCAACTTCCAATTGAAGAGGAAATTAGGAAAAGACGATGGAAATGAATAGAACGGAAATCACCAAACTGCATCATGAGACAAGCGCTAACTTTGAATCTTGAAGGGAAGCGGAAATGAGGAAGGTCGAATAACACATTAAATAGAAGTAGATACGATAAGGATGAATAACAAGTGGAAAGAGTTTGAAAGGATTGCGGAGGACAGAGTTGGATGGCGAGTGTTGGTGAGAGGCCTATGCTCCTCCACGAGGAGTAACAGGCGTAAGTTCATAGATCAGAGGAACGTTCAATCCGATTCGAACTAAGATACATCACTTTTATGTTAAATGTTTTATTATAGTTTAACAATCAAACTGATTAGTATAAGTGAAACATAAACTTAAAGTTAAGAATTTTCCAGTGGATTAACACATAGCAACAACCGATAATCATGATTTTTTAGAATACCTGTTTAGATACTTCAACTTGGTTGATACATACAAATGGAAATATCAAAGTAATTTCACTCTCCTGTCCACCCCTCACACACACATAGACAAAGGTAACTTTAGCTTACTACCACTAATATGTAAATACCGCAATTTAGGACTTTCAACTGAATATAAGTAAATGATTGTTGCTTGTTGAGAAAACTGTCAATAAGTTGACGACATTTGACCGAAAACTAGGGAAGATGGAATACTGCACTGACTAGGGAATATCCCATCTAATTTATTGTTTCTGTGATATAGTCATCATTTTTGATGAAATGTGATATTATATCAGGCCTAATCTTTAAATACTTCTAGGAACACTTTAAACTGTGGTAACCGAGATGTATATAAACCCAGCTTGTTTGAAATACATGATTCATATCACAGAGGCTAAGATTGATGTTCTGGACTCAGCATGGTGGCATGGTTAGTCAGGAAGCAGGACCGGTAAATACTCTAGACTGTTCGTATAGTTTTATGCGTCATTGGTTCAGTCGATAATTCACTGTTCTCTAATTGGCGGTATCATTACGTAATGTATTAATAAGGACAAAATTACACTGTTATGCATTATAATGGACTTCAGTTATTCAGTGTTTAATTTAAGAAAGTCACATCAACATCTTAAATCTAAAGATCTTTCATAATAGTCTAAGGATGATTCTTTGAACAGGTTCTTATTTTAGGGAGAAAAAAACAATTAGGCGATCCACTCTTAATGGTACATTTTGCTTGGAATTGATAACATTGAATAGCCAATAGGGAAATTAAATATGTATATGTATTCGTATTGCACAAGCAAGTGGCTATCAGGACTCAATAGTTAAGTTTATAACACGATAGCGTTTGAAGCGAATGGTATTGGGTTCGAGTCTCAGAGTGAACATCAACTCTGAGATACAGGTATATCCAGTCGACAAGTCTAAAATAGGACGAAACATGCGTCCTGGATTCCACTGCAAGCTAATATCCATATTTGTGTATTTCTCATTGTTTATTAACGTCTACATCATCATTCGTAGCAACTAGAAATCATATTCCAACAAGGATTTAATAAATTAACATTACGAATAAAAACAGACTGAAAGTTCATAAGTGTCCAGTTTCATTATTCATTAGTTCTTATTCCTGATGGAATTCTCCTTACTAGATTGTAATCAGATCAGTTCTAAAATCAAGACAATGATGAAATCATTTACTACTCACTGTCAAAAACTCAATTCATACACGGAGTAACTTGTAGTTCAAATCATATTATGATAACATTTTTGACCGTAACACTAGGTAACATCCTTTCGAACACCATGGATAACATATGATCTACCTCAGCATCACAAAAAATTCTCCCTAAACAACATGCTTCCTTGATCAAGTAAAACTTCTTATCAGTATTGAGTTGTGGAGATTATTAAGTTTTTAATTGAGATCCTGAACTGATTGATGTTAGACCACCGTTGAAAACACAGAATTAATAGACGGCCATTTCGTCCCATTGTGGGACTCTTCAGAAGTGCACATCCACGATCCCGACCGTGGAATTCTAACCCAGGGCCTTCAGTCTCCCACGCGAATGCTTAACTTCTAGATCACTGAGCTGACCAGTATCCAACAGTGTCAATGTCTAACCTCGACCAATCCACGAAATTGCGTGGCCATCTTCCATTGTACTGAGGTAGAAACCTGTCTCGATCCGACACGGATTAGGACGAAACGGTCATCCAGTACTTCCAGGTTTTCAATGACAATCTAACATCAATCAGTTCATGACCTCAATCCAAAACTTTGTATGATATTTATTCTGGTATATAATGACTTTCATAGTAAATAAACTATAATATCAATACTATTTACCTTCATTACATGCTTGAACACAATTTGGTGTACCAGATTCAAATAACAAATGATCCGTTAAATATTCTTGTTGAGTTATTTGACGATTTAAATAGAATCCACCACGTTTACAACATTCTAATTGTGATATACTCTCTTCCATTAATCCAATACAATTACCACTATTTAAACGTTTGGCAAAACATGATCCAGTTGTCACTGTTTTAAATTTAAAAAAGAAGAAGAAGAAGAAACAAAAGCGGTAGATGAAACATAAGGAAAAGCTTATAGTAAACTGTTGGATTAATGGTTCTTTTTTCTGGTTAGCGTCTTTTTTCTTGCGAGTTAGTTTTCTAAGGGAGACTTGGAGAACTACGAAAGCAATCATCCAGAAGATACAGGTGTTTATTAACAGTTGTCTATGCAAAATACTTCGGATCCGTTAGTCAGACACCATCAGCAACGACCTACTGTGGGAGAGAATAAACCAGATCCCAGTGGAGTAGGAAGTCAGGAAGAAGCTCTAGAAGTGGATATGTTACATGTTGAGGAAAGCACCCAACTGCGTCACAAAGCAAGCACTCACTTAGAATCCTCAATGTCAAAGGAGAAGAGGAAGACGAAAGAACACATTACACTGAGAAATGGAGACAGATATGAGAAGAGTGAACAATAATTGGATAGAACTAGAAAGGATTTTCCAGGACAGAGTGAGTTGGAGAATGAATTTTCCATAACTTCAGCTCGCATATTTATTAAATAAAGTAATATACCTCTTAATAGTTTTGTAATTGTGAGTACAACCTACAGATAAGTTCGAAGAAGCTCTAAGAAGTTTAGAAAGATTCAAAGATATTCCATCCAATCATGTTTTCAAAAAATATTCCAGATGTGACTTCCCCATTGAAAAAAACGTTAAAACCTTTGTATAAGAACTAGATGACTATAATGATGATTTCGTTTTCACTAAAAACTATAAACACATGAGAGTTTTATGTCATATTGGACATTGTTTAAAATAGAATTCCCTCTCAATTGTCTTCTATATTTTCATTTATGACTTGAAAGGTTCTAGCATTCGAGTGTTCCAGTTGTACATGGTATATCAAAGGATCTAAGCTCTAGATATAACAGTAATTGTAAACTATTCAACATAAAGTCTAAATTAACCACTAGCTTCTTCAATACACATTTGGTTTACTCTTTTGAAACAGAAGAAATAGGTACATATTGTACCGATTATTATGAATGGGTTTAATGTGATAATGGTTTTTAGGAATCGGATCAAGGATGCATGTGATTCAGTAACATACTGTAGTTGCATTGTGTTTAAGTTGGCGACTTGTTTGGATATGACAAATGGCTTAAGCAATATTGTAATGTTATATCAATCAGCTTCTGGTTAGTTTATACATCGTCATCATATACCAATGCATAGTTTTCTTGAAGAGAAGAATTGTATTCCTTTTATTTAGAGCAGAAGTGTAACTTGATCATGTATACAATCATTATAATCTTGTAGTGATCTACTTTTATCAAGAGAACGCGATTGGTTTAATGGTAACAATTATTATTATAACCAATTGTACCAGTGATTGTTTTACTGTACTTGTTTGTTTAACTGTACTAAAGGCATACATTCTTCCGTTGCTTATGACCTTGCAAGTACTAACGTTTGCTCAGTGATTCCGCTTGTACTCCTATGGCATGGTCTTGGTACTCTTTCGATACCACGAGATCGTCAACAAATATATCTCGTTACAACCTCCAATCGCCTTCTGATATGTGGTACGCAACTCTCTTGTAGTGGTGATCACAGTCAACCGCGACTCGACATCACACTACAAACTTAGAATCATAGATAAATATTTGAGTGGGGATTTGTGGAGATTGTAGCAATTTAACAGTTGAATTCAAAAGAAGATCTAAGTAAGAACATCATTTAGACCGAAGGTCATGGGTTCGATTCTCACATGAAAGATTATGGATATGACTAGTCAGTTGAATGTGCTTGTATTCTGTTACTAATCTTTACAATAAAACTAAGATATAATACTTATCATTTCAAGTATGCTACTAATTATTCGTAATAGTTTGTATTGTCTCATTGTAGATATTAAGGACTGGATGGAATCATTCTATGATAGACCATAAGTTCTATTATGAAACAATAAATTCTGAGTTTCACCCTTAGGATGAATGAAAATAACACTGAGACCTCGGGTCATTGTAAATGAGACAAAATATCTATTCTATTCACTTGGTATTGTTTGTTTGAATCTTCCCATTGATGTTAAGGACTGTAACTGATCAGTCGCTTATTATTGGCATATGTGCATTCTGTGCAGAATGCCTCTATATTGCCTCAAGTCGCATGAATTATGAAACAAAGATGGATGGTGGCTAGCAGTGAAATCCAGGGCTCTGAGTTCGAGTCCCTGAGTGAACACCAACTCTGAGATGCAGGCATATCCAGCTGACGAGTCTCAAACAGGACGAAACACGCATTTTGGATTCCACTGCTAACCACTATCCATCTTTACTTATAATATAGAATATATTTGTAGACAAAATGTGAAGAAAAATAAAACGGACAATAGGTATAGAAATAATCATAAGACTCACTTGCTAAGCCTAATTTACCCGAATGTAAAGATAAAGAGGCTACAAACTTCTCATTATTTGTTACCTTGATTCATCATAGCCCTTTTGTTGTATATAAAAGATATGATTGAACCTGATAAAGAAACGTACCAAGTATACGATAAACTACACTAAATGATTTGGTTCTATCTACTATATGATCTTTATTAGTCAACTGTAATAGAATGAAGCTTTATATTCGTTTTGTCATACTTTATCACAAGCACAGAGAGAAGTGTTCATTAACTTATTAACAAAATTGTCTAATTGTAATCACCTTCCACCCACCCCCCACCGCTTTAATGTAGTTCTTTGAACAGAACTGTCTAAAATCATGGATACATATAAATATAATAAAACTAGATAATTTATCCTTTAACTCTATTCATCATTTTTTTCCATGGAGAGGTAATATGAAAAGAGTAACTAACTTCATTAGACCATTATCACCTTTTTGTTTCTCTTTTATCTTTTTGTTCTATAATATGAACAATACATAACAAGAATATTTTTCTTTTCCATTTGGAATATAATATAGTTGACAAATGAACTTGTCATTAGAAACGAATTTATAATGTTCACTATTGTAATAATAATAATAATAATAAAAGAATAATAATTGAATAGTTGAATTCATCAATCGATTTAAATTAGATCATTATGAATAATCTGAAAGTATTGGATAGTTGTGATCAATGGAAATCAACTATGTATGTTGTAAAGCAGTTACTTACTGAAAATAATGATAGATAGTTGAGTAATATCATGGATTGGTTGAAGTTAGATATGAACACCGTTGGATTCCAGCTCAATGGTCGCATGCGAGATCGTAGATGTACACTGTCAAACAGAAGTTCTACAAAAGGACGAAACGTCTATCCAGTAATTCCAGGTTTTCTATAGCGATCTAGCTTTAATTAACTAATGAATTCAATCATTAAACTACTAAAATAACCATAGCCCCCCCCCCATTCTGATAAAAGAATAACAGTTTATTGATCATAGATTTCTTTGAATGAAAAGAAGTAACTATTTTTAATCAGATATCAAGTGTCTTAGAGATGACTTTGAATGATACTGAATGAAATCACTGACACTACTGCTATTCATTTTCGTTATAACATTTCACTATATGAGCAGTTTACTCTATTGTATATATTTAAGAGAAAGTGATTTGATACAACTTGAGAAATTGAATCATTCAAATCGTTCATAATGTGAATGATTATAACAGAATAAGAGTATTATTATCCAAATAATACTTATAACTTATTAGAACTTGCCAGAACTTGTATTCTCCTATTTCTCATACTGAAAACTATAGTTACTTAATACTAGTTTCCATAAGCTTCAATAGTTGATGAAGCTTAAATGAGCCGAAACTCATCACTAGAATTCCACTATTAATTACATTGGAAACATACTAAAGTTTTTGTAATTGGAAAGTACAATATACAAATAAGTAAATTAGTCATTAAGTTTGAATATGTTGTTTGTTTTTATCTAGACAAAGATGAAGAACTATAAAACTTCCTTAATGTTCAAGGATAAAACAACTTCATAAAGAATCTGGATTTCTACATACGTACGGTATGGTTTATCAGTAATTATTTGATACAAGTGATTAAACTGTTTACCCAGTTAGATGAGAAAGTAGCTGAGTGGTTGTAGATGTCTGATGGAACAGTTAATGGTCAATTATTCTTATTGCATCATTCAAAGACATTAACATCTCATAGACATTTAGATGAAAATATTCAAAGTAATACATTAGAATATTGAATAACAATTGATCATTCAAACAAATCACATAGTGAATAGAGTAGAAGAAAAACACTTCTTAAAAGAAGACAAATTATCAATAGGACGAAATGTATGTCCTGAATTCCACTGTTAGTCACTATCCATCATTGCTTACAAAAAGCTTGTGAATTAAGGCTAATATCGAGGCAATACACACAGGATGCACATATATCAATAATAAGAGACTGATCAATTGCAGTCCTAAACATCAATGGAAAGATTCAAGTAAACAATACCAAATGATTTTAAACTTCAACCTAATGAACAAGTTAGTGACTAACAGATTCAATGGTGAAGTGATTAAAATGATGTCACTTGAAGCGAACGGTATTGGGTTCGAGTCTTAGAGTGGACATCAACTCTGAGATGAAGGTACATCCAGCTGACGAGTCCCAGATAGGATGAAACATGCATCCTGGATTCCACTGCTTATAATACATTATATGATTGATGGTTGTAAGCATAAGAATGATCTTTATTGTATTTCATGTCTAAAAAGTTCTTAAGTTTGACAACAACAAAAAAAAACAGTCTAATGTCAGCACATGTCTGACAACAAAAAAGTGACCTCCATAAAATAATATTAGTCAATATAACCTGTGAAGGGGAATTTCTTTGATGATTTGTTTATTACATGAAATTAGAAAATAATACTAGTAAACAAAATTAGTAGTATTTTTACAAATTATAACTCAATATTAATACTAGTGTGGTGTGTACTACTGATGTCATTAGATATAAGTAGTATATATCATCAATCGAAAATAAAATACCTGGCAGCAGAAGATTAAGCAGATTGAAGAAAAGAGAACGAGGACAAAGTATGATTGATGTGGAAATGATGGAATAATCAAGTCTGAGACAATTGATTGACATTTTGTGAATGAAGTATTCACTGTATGATTCTCAGATTCTAGTAAGACATTTTGTAATGTTTATACTCAAATACAATTGGTTGTCCCCATTTGTGTCGTCGTCCACTTCATGATAACTATTAAACATCGGAGAACACTGATAAATTTCTTGTATGTTTCATTCTCTACGAATGTTTACTGATAATTCATTATAAGCAAAAGTTGGGTTATAACAAAGTATTTACGATGTATCAAAAGGGGTTTTGTGACGGGATCATGGATGCACACTGCTGAGCAGGAGTTTCACAATAGGACGAAACGGCCATCCATTGCTTCCAGATTTTCCATGTTTGTCTAGTTTCAATTGACTCATAATCTTAACTATTAAAATATTTCAGATGTATTTGCTATACATAGTTGGATATAGTAACAGAAAGGTCTGTTTCATGTAAGCTTGATACCATTTAACACATATCCGTAAAGTACATCACCAATCATGAAGCAATTAATGTTTTTTCTCATTGAGATTCAAGAGTGGGTCAACTGATGTCATAGTTGAAGGAAGTCTATCACAGTTAGAATAGTTGAGTGATGATATCTTTAAGTGACAGATTTCAATCGTACATAAAAATATAATTTCGCCTCAAGACTATATATATATATATATATATACACGCATACCTTCTTGACAAGTACCAACTAGCATGAAACTCTGATCAATGCTGGACTTCCTAACGGTTGATTACAATCACCTAACATATTTTTATGTTTCAATCAAAAGTGACAACTTTATTGAAATATCATTCGTCTATCAATTACAGTACTAATCTATGCTGACTAACATAATGAATTAATCATCAGAAATAAGGATTTGTGGAGATTGTTGTATTGCAACAGCTGAATTCACAAGACAATCTAAGCTAGACCGTCATTTAGACAGAAGTACATAGGTTCGAGTTTCACGTGAAGGATTGTGAATGTGCACTGGCAAGAAGGAATCTAATACTAGGTTGAAAATGATCATCTATTGCTTTCAATCTTTCAATAATGATATGAACACAAACATTGGTACAAGTAAGCAGTAAACAGATATGCGCCATATAAATCATTCGATTTGTGTGAGAGCTTGGATACTACCTGGTGGTTTAACTAGAGGGTCACAGTCAGAGCCTTCGACCTAAAGGTCTAATCCACAAGGCAGTGGAACAATGTCAGGAGATGCATTCCCATGGTAACCGGTGACCAACGATTGATTCATACGCCATTTGTTTCCTTAGGATCCTGAAGCCCATGTACACCATTGGTTTAGGATAAGAGTTTCCCAACTCTCCTAAATGGATCCTCCATATCCACCAACCCAGTTAAATCGCTGAACATTCGTATTTTCATCCTCTCAATTTTATAAACAATACCCTGATCACAAAAAAGCAGTAAGTAGAACTTCCCTATCAGTAGTTGTATGTACATGACTATTTAAGTGTATTTCAAGAGTAACAATCGACTCTCTTCACTTTCAACCATACCATCAATTCAATAACTATGATCATTTATCAATCAATCAATCAATCAATTAATAATAACATAATCAATAATAATCAATAATGATTATTTTTTTATTCAACTAACCTGTAGTACTTTCAATACAATAATTGATGGATAATAAATTGATAATTAAATTAATTAATAATCCTGATAAGAAATAAATTTTCATTGTATAATATCCATACCATAATGTATGATTGATATGATGTAATAGAATCATTACTATATAAGATCTGTTTATAAATATATTTTAATGTCTAAATGGTATTTATCTCTTTCTAAATAAGAGTTCTTTTCCTTTTTGATGAATAGTATATCACTGATGTATTATGGCTAATACTACTACTATTAGTATTATTATTATTAGTAGTAGTATATCTATCTATGTACCTAGGTATATATCTGTGTATATATATATATGTGAATGGGTAACCAGTGATTACGTAACTGTAATGAATGTTTATTTAGTTCCCTTTTAAAAATAAACAACAAAAGAAAAACCACTGATTATAATAAATAATTTAATGAATAATAAACAATATTGAATAGAGATGATGCATAACAAAATGATCTAATTTGATTGTTTAATAATGATGATATATAGAGAGAGATGGATAAATGAGTGATCTTTTATGAATGATGAATGAGGATGATGATGATGACGATGATACCCTTTAAAAACATGAAATAATATGATGATAATGATTATAATGAATCGGGATTGCTTTTATAGTTGATTATGTATACACTCACACGCACACACACACTCACACATTCACACACACACACAGAGAGAGAGAGAGACCGCAAACATAAAGTGACACTAACAGAATTAATAGGATAATGATGATAGTAATAATAAACATAAACTGACCAATGTATTAGTTAGTTGACTAATTAACTATGGACTATTGAATTGTTTGTTTGTTTGTGTTTGTTCGATGATCCGGTTGTTTGTTATTGTTGATTTTTTTAAATTTTTCTCCTCCATTTATTGTGCTTATTAAATAAATTACCGATTCAGACAATCAGGTTAATTATAAGCGCGAACACATATACACATGTACATATACATATATATATATATATACACACACAGAGGGACATAATCTTATTCACGCCTACATTGCTGAAGGAAATAGATTTGTACAATTATACTCTACAATATATAAAATACATTTTTCAGTAAAATAGTAGAAGTAGTAGTAGTAGTAGTAGTGGTGGTGGTAGTAGTAGTAGTGGTAGCAGTAGTAGTAGTAGTAGCAGTAGTAGTAGCAGTGGTAGTAGTGGTGGTGGTAGTAGTAGTAGTGGTAGCAGTAGTAGTAGTAGTAGCAGTGGTAGTAGAAGTGGTAGTAGTAGTAGTAGTAGTAGTAGCAGTGGTAGTAGCAGTGGTAGTAGTAGTAGTAGTAGCAGTGGTAGTAGTGGTGGTGGTAGTAGTAGTAGTGGTAGCAGTAGTAGTAGTAGTAGCAGTGGTAGTAGAAGTGGTAGTAGCAGTAGTAGTAGTAGTAGCAGTGGTAGTAGCAGTGGTAGTAGTAGTAGTAGTAGTAGTAGTAGTAGTAGCAGCAGTGGTAGTAGTGGTGGTGGTAGTAGTAGTAGTGGTAGCAGTAGTAGTAGTAGTAGCAGTGGTAGTAGCAGTGGTAGTAGTAGTAGTAGTAGCAGTGGTAGTAGTGGTGGTGGTAGTAGTAGTAGTAGTAGTAGTAGTAGTAGTAGTAGTAGCAGCAGTGGTAGTAGTGGTGGTGGTAGTAGTAGTAGTGGTAGCAGTAGTAGTAGTAGTAGCAGTGGTAGTAGCAGTGGTAGTAGTAGTAGTAGTAGCAATGGTAGTAGTGGTGGTGGTAGTAGTAGTAGTAGTAGTAGTAGTAGTAGTAGCAGCAGTGGTAGTAGTGGTGGTGGTAGTAGTAGTAGTGGTAGCAGTAGTAGTAGTAGTAGCAGTGGTAGTAGCAGTGGTAGTAGTAGTAGTAGTAGCAGTGGTAGTAGTGGTGGTGGTAGTAGTAGTAGTGGTAGCAGTAGTAGTAGTAGTAGCAGTGGTAGTAGTGGTGGTGGTAGTAGTAGTAGTGGTAGCAGTAGTAGTAGTAGTAGTAGCAGTGGTAGTAGCAGTGGTAGTAGTAGTAGTAGTAGCAGTGGTAGTAGTGGTGGTGGTAGTAGTAGTAGTGGTAGCAGTAGTAGTAGTAGTAGTAGTAGTAGTAGTAGTAGTAGTAGTAGTAGTGGTAGTAGTAGTAGTAGTAGCAGTGGTAGTAGTAGTAGTATCATAACTAATACAAGAGCGAATAACATTGATTATGATGTTGATGCATGATGTTTGTTCGTTTGATTTACGTGTGGTCCCTTCATCACAAATAGTACATCTATACAAACCATAATAAACGATGCAATAATGTATAAAGGGATAGTAACAAAATATACCGACTCACACTAATCAACAATACGTGCGTACACACATACACATTTTATCAGAATTAAACTTATATCAAACGAGAAAACAAACGATAATGATGAAATAATTGGGTCAGTACAGATCATCATATCATAATAGTTTATAAAAATTAACATTGTTTACTTGTGACCACGTAAGGTTAAATAATAAAGCATACCAGATTTATAGATAAAAGAACAGAATGTTTCGTCGTAGTATGAAACTCTTCAGTTGTGCGCATCTACGATCCCGTCCCGCAGGGTTCGATCCCAGGTAACAAGCAGCAACCAGTGGAGTTCATCCGGATCCGTTGTGAGATAGTAACTTACTAAAGACGATGGTGGATGTGTCATTCAATTTTGTGGATTGATTGAAGTTAGACATCAACACCGTTGGATGCTAGCAGGCTCAGTGGTCTAGAAGTTAAGCGTTAGAGCGCGCGAGACTGATGGGTCCTGGGTTTGAATCTTGCAAGGCGGGACCGTGGATATGCACTGCTGAGGAGTCTCACGATAGGGCGAAATGGCTGTCCAGTGCTTCCAGGTTTTAGATACTGGTCTAGCTTCAATTGACTCATGAATTTAATTATCAAATCATGATTCAGTTAAAGTAAATAGGGGAGAAGAACTCCTGTAGCTAAAAATCTCCCAGAATGTCAAGCTTATATGATTTCCAGTATTAATTTCTTTCTGTATCTTAGTGAGAAGTTAACAAATTTTGGATGCGAACCAAACATATTATCTATCTATAAACTTATCAATGAAAGTTTACAAGAAGGTTGATGAGTTATGGATTGGCGTTTCAGAGAACTCATAATCCCTAATGAAAGTACTAGTTAAGCATTCATATGAAATATGATATCATGAAATTATCCATCCCATAGTGGCTTGTGTTTTGACTCTACATTTTTGCTAATCACCTTTCATTAGTAAAGGACTTCGCAGACCACCACTGAAAAATAGGATGCACTACATAACTGTATATAGCTTGTACGGAACTCCTCAGTAGTGCGCATCCGCAAACATGCCATCGGGAATTAAATTGAAAACCTTCGGTCTTACACACGGAAGCCTGACTTCCGGATCAGTAAACTGACAACCAATGGTATACATACTTAGTTTCAGTTCATTAACGATATCAGGCAATCGTCTCCCATCCAAATCAATTGGTGCCGTTTCAGTGGTCTAAAGATTAGACGTTTGCACACCAGACTGAAGGTCCTGATTTCGATCCTTCGTGCCAGTGTCATAGGTGCACAGTTTTTGAGAATCTCATGTTAGGGCGAGACAATCATTGTATTTCATGGGCTTTTTTTCTCTGAATCAAGAAAACTTATCACTGTCCTGGTCTTTCCATTTTTATATTGTAGCCATTATATTAGGCATTACCGTTGTTGTGCTTTTGTTAATTTGTTTCTTTTGCATAGTAACTAAAATTGAGCTCACTCATTTATATAAAGTACATTATCTATTGAATAAGTGAACTAGGTAGGATCACAAAATATTTACATACTTTAGAGTAAATCATTTTTACCCTCACCAACACCACCACCATTCTTTTCAAAATTTCCCTTTTTTTATCGATATAGCTATACTATCACTGTAACCGTTGTTTGAAACATCTTCCAAAGTTATTAGAAGTCCGTCTCTTTAGTTGTCTTATCTATGAATGTCTAGACTGTATATCATAGAAATAATTGATTGACTTGATAGGGATAGTTTTTTTAACTGTTTCATCTCTTTTTAAAGACCTCCTATTCCATACAAACGAATACATGCAGATGAAGACAACTAGTGTAGCAACAGTCTCTGCATTAGTAGGCCTCAATCTACATAAATGAAAAAAGCAACATCCTCAAATACAACATAGAGAACACCAACCAAATCACACTTGATGGCGAAACTCTGGAAGACGTGGAATCCTTCACGGAACTAGGAGGTATCATCGATGAACAAGGAGGATCGGATGCAGAAGTAAATGCATGATTGACAAAGCAACAACACCATTCCTACGATTGAAGAATATAGAGAACTCAAAACAACTCTCTCTCTCAATCAATATCAAAGTCATAATCTTCAATACGAACGTCAAGTCAATTAGTTCTACTAAACGGAGATGAAACTTCCACAATTACTACAACCATTATCAACAATGTACAAGTATTCATAAATATTTGTCTATACAGCATACTCAACATTCATTGTCCGGATACCGTCAACAACAGTCTACCGTGAGAGAACAAACCAACTTCCAGTTGAAGAGGAAATTAGGAAAAGATGATGGAAATGGATAGAACATACATTACGGAAATCACCAAACTGCATCATGAGACAAGCGCTAACTTTGAATCTTGAAGGGAAGTGGAAATGATGAGGGTCCAAGAACACATTAAATCGGGAAACAGAAGCAGATATGAAAGGAATGAATATTAAGTGGAAAGAGCTTGAAAGGATTGCGGAGGACAGAGTTTGATGGAGAGTGTTGGTGGTAGACCTGTGCTCCTCCACAAGGAGTAACAGGCGTAAGTAAGTAAGTAATCTCTTTTTAAAATATAAACTAACATATTGGGCACAGAAATAGGAAAGAATTATAATCAGTAAGATAAAGAAAGCATAAAGCAAAACCTGAAGAGATTTTAAAACATATGAATCCGAGGATAACAATCATATTGATAAGCAAACTGACACTTCTAATGACTGGCAGTCGAAAAAATGGAATATCACTCTCAGACTGACGATTAAGGAGAACGTAACTAATGCTTATATTTAACAGAATTAGTAGCTCAGTTTGTATATTCACTGAACCGTTCACATATATATTGACAATCATTTTATATAAGCAAAGATGTATGGTGGTTAGCAGTGGAACCCAGGACGTACGTTTCGTCCTATTAGGGAATCGTCAACTGGATGTACCTGCATCTCAGATGTGATGTTCACTCTGGCACTCGAGTCCAGTACCGTTCACTTCGAAAGCCATCGCGTTATCCATTTATCGACTGAGTCCTGATAGCCATTAGCTTGTGCGATGGGATAAAGTCTTAATTCATCTCGTATTGTTTGTTTGAATCTGCCTATTGGTGTTTAGGACTGCCAGTGACTAGTTGACGAGACCCAAATGGAATGAAACGCTCGTCTTGGATTCCACTGTTAGCCATCATCCAATTTTGCTCAGAATGAGTGTAATTCAAGGCAATGTCGAAGCAATCTTCACAGTATGCACATTTGCCAATAAGAGACTGATCAATTGCAGTCCCAATCTGTTTTACACAGTTTTGTCAGGATTTTACCGTTAGGACGTTTTTGCAATGAAGTGTAACCTTTCATGATGGTAGATTAACCACAGACAGATCCTGATGACTGTCTCTCATGTTCTAGTAAGAAATCTACCTGTGATTTTAGATCTACTAAATGGAATTCAGCCAACACTTGGGTTTATAGACAATACATTAGTTGTTACAATTTAAGGATTTCTTAATCCCAAGGACTATTTTAAAACCATTCGATTGATCGTAAGTAGCAGTAATAAATTCTTTTTGATTGAGATCATGAGTCAGTCGATGCTAGAACACCATAGAAAGCCTGGAAACACTAGATGGTCGTTTCATCCTACAATGGGACTCCTCAACAGTGCGCGTTCAACGATTCCACATGCAGAATTCGAATCCAAGACCTTCGGTCTCGCGCAGCAAACTCTTAATCTCTCCACAAGTAGGTCGGCATCTAACAATGATAATGCATAACTTCCATCGATCCATGAATTGCTGCGCAACTATTCATCCATTATTTGTGGTAGATACCTGTCTCTACTCGACACGGATTGAACTCCATAAGTCACGGCTTCTTACCAGAACTCCAGGAAATCATTTTGACGCCAGTCACTAGTAAGCACATGATGATTATTATCAGTGTAGGGTTGTGAAGATTGAGTTTAGATTGATATCTGTTATAACTTGTGGCCTGTATGCCCTGTTAATGTATAACGTAATGATGCCGCCAATTAGATAATAGTGAATTATCGACTGGACCCATGACGCATAAAAACCGTACGGGCAGTGTAGAGTCCTTATTGGTCCTGCTCATTGCCTAGCCCAGCCAATTAAGTTCAGAACGCCAATCTCAGTCTCTGCAATATGTATCATGTATTTCAAATATACTGGGTTTATATACCAACCAGACAGAACACATTGTACCGTAAAATGAAAAATAACATTTGTACAAGAATTAGCCAAATGTGGCCGTGAATATGGGAGATAGTAATTGATAGACTGGGCATAAATCTAGAATGGTTAATTGTATAATAATAGTTTCTAGGTCAAAATAAAGCTTATAATAAGAGGATCATGTATATGGGTAGTTTAGTTACTTGACAATTATGCACTAAAACTATATGTATAGTATTAGTTCAGAAATAGATTCTAACAATATCATGAATGAATCAATGTTAGACCACTGAAAACTTGAAATCTCTAAACAACCTACAAGATCGTGACAACTCACTACTGAGTAGTCTCATCATACAAAGATAAAAAAAACGACCATCTAATTCTTTCAAGTTTTCCATCCTACTTTATCAATAACCAAATTGATGATCTCAATCAAAAAAAAAAAAAAACTATACAATCTTTATAACCCCTTATACATAGATCTATATTCTTTGCCAAAATAAACATTATCATGACTTTTCAAGGTGAAATGTCTAGTTATCATTCATTCATTCATTCATTCATAAATAAATAAATATTGTCTTTATGGAAATTTATCTACTTCATTGTTTGTTTGGTTTGTTTGTTTTTATCCATGAAAATAGTCAGTCAGTCAGTCAATGACCTTATGATTAAGTCTTTACCATTAAAAAAAAAAAAAATAGAATAATATAAGTAGTATAATGCGTAGGCATTAAATGAATGAAATACATGGGTTATTAGATTGTTTAAACCTCTTTTTTTTTTCGGATGAATGAATGAATGAATGAAAAACAATCGGTTGATCATGTCTATGAATTGTTGATTAGAAATGATAATTGAGTTATGGATTTGGATGAAATTATGTAATAATTATCAGTAAGCAATGAAGGATAGTGGCTACTATAACAGTGGAAGTTAGTTTGATGCATGTTTCATCCTATTTGCGAATCATCAACTGGATAAACCTGCATCTTAGAGTTGATGTTCACT